AAATGAGACTAATCTGATAGATTATTTTTTGATTGTATTAATCTCTTTTATTTGTGCTATATAAAAACCACACATTATTATTTATTATTTTCAGGCATATGATTAGGCCTATTATTATTTACAACATATGTAACAACTTTTTTTAAACTCAGTGAATATAAAATGCTTCTGATTACTCCATTCAAAATTCACCAAATAAAATATATTTAATTAAATTATAACTTATTTCATCCATACCTTCTACACATTATGTACATCATCTGTTTCTCTTGCTATTTATCACATGTCAAAGGTCATGAACTTGTTGTGTAAACTCTTTCTTCCAGTAACAGTAGAATTGAACAATCTGAGAAAATGAAATCAACAATTACACGTTGATTATTAAAAAAATCTTTGATCTGCTCAAATATGTTTACCAATATTCCTCTGCCTGATTTCAGATTTGCTCCATTTTAAAAACATCCAATCAATTCATTAATTATTCCAGTAGTCTTCAATTCAATAAATACTACAAACAAGTTAAATCATTTTCTATGAGTATATTGAACTTCAATATTAAAATTCTTAATGATATTTGTAAAACAAAACTAAGAACATTTTATACTGTTAAATACATTATTACAGTATGGTATAAAGTAAACGAAAGTAGCATATAGCATACACATTGCAAAACAATTCAGTTTCTTTGTACAATAATCTTATCAATCAAATGAATTAAAATAGTGATTATTCAATTTATTCAAAAAAACCTCCGGGACGGAGAAGTAAAAAAGAACAACAGGGTACAACAAAAACAATTCATTAAAATGGACAATTTCATTACAAGAACCACAACAATGGAGATAAAAAAAAAAAAAACACGAAAAAAGTTTACAAATTCTTAAAAAGACCAAAAAAATTCAATTACATCAATAAATGGAGAAAACAAAACTCAACTTTAACTTTAACACCACTTTTAACAGGTAAAAGCAAACAGTCTCAATTTTCTTGTTGCTTTTGTCTTTACTGCAATTTGCAAACTAATATGAAGAACTACAGATATGCCTGTAAGGAGCAATACCATGGCAATCCATTGCAATTTATAAATAATTCGCTAAGTTAAAATAGACATGCCACAAGTCCCTTTTAATTATTTTTTCTCATTCTGGACAGCACCACCAACGAGAAAGTTAATTTTGAGACAGAAATAATGAAATCCTAATCATAAAATAAAGAAATCGAGTATGGGATGCCAAATAAATTAGGTAAATAATAAATTAAACCCAATATTAGGGCCTGGAACCCAGGCTAAAAAAGTAGAGTACACTATAAATTTACAGGAATCAAATCCAATTACATTTTAAAAAGAGGATTAATTATGCTGAACTTGTTATTGCAAATCCCAAATAAATTTACTAGAGTTGTAATGCTTCATTATTCAGTGTGTTTGAATATTGACTGTAGGATATCTGTACCCACAATACCTAAATACCGTACTCGCGCGAATAAGCCCCCGACCGCTTAACATATTTTTTGCACTTTCTGAGGGGCGCTTATTCAAATGGGGCGCTTATTCAAACGGGGCGCTTATGAAAATAAGAGTGGAAATTGAGGGGGCGCTTATGGAAATAGATGAAAATCGAGGGGTTCTTATGGGAAATTATTTTAATAATTAAAAATTCAAGAGGCACTTTTTGAATAAAAAAAAAAGATTATATAAGGACATTACGAATGGTGGTTAGAAAAGATAATCATTCAGAGAACATGGGTCATAACAAGAATGCATGAATATATATTTTACATAACAGCAAAATGGCAAATGCAATTAGTGGTGGGTAGTGGTTAGCTTGTTGGCCATCGGCCGACTGAGATTAGCAGGATGGCAGGATCATTGTATTTTTCTTTAAAACTCAGATGAGAATGTGCTTAAGGTCGAAAAAAGAAAAAGAGCAGTAGGACCAGACATAGACAAATATGTAAAAAAGATTAAAGTTGGAAATATACTGTCTGTCCAGGGATCGGAGCTCTCATGTGTCCAGGGATCGGAGCTCTCATCTGTCCAAAAGAAATATCCTTATTTTGATATTGACTGAAGAAGAATGTGTTTCCACTCTACAGCTCAAATCATGGCAACAACCACAGTCTCAGGATTGGTTGGATTATTGACTTGCTAAAAAGAAAATCGTATGAGGGGGTGCTTATTCAAACGGGGCGCTTATGGAAATTTTCAAGTTAGGAGGGGCGGTTATTCGAGAGGGGCGCTTATTCAAACGGGGCGCTTATTCGCGCGAGTACGGTACAGTTGAACTTGCCTAAGTCGAATCCAAAATGTCATTGAAAAATTGTTCGACTTTGATAAAATTCAAATTACAGATTGTTAATTAATGGAAAACACAACAATTTGGCATGTAAAGTAAATTTGAATTAGAAATTATTCGAATTAGGCAAAGTCGACTTAGGTAAGTTTAACTGTAAAAAATTAAGAAACTGTGTTGGGCGCTTTGAGCATTGTCAAAAACAATCAAATATTAAATCAATAAATTATCTTACAATTATAACAGCCTTTTACACAGATGGTCAAATATGCAAATTTGCAGAATACACCTATAAAAGAAGGCAGCTACAAAGTATGTCTAATTTGATGATGTTTATTTTTATACCTCCTTGCTAAGAGTAATAATATATGATAAAAACAAGGAAATAAGTAAGTTTATGTGTAATGGACCACATGGCTGCTCCCTGCCTGGACATAATCAAAACACAACATCAACAAATTCAAAAGTACAAAAACTAAGACTACTTACAGTTGAGAAGAGGCACAGATGTCCAAACAGTATTTACAGATTAGACCTACAGACCTAAAATGATTAAAAATAACACTTAGCGAATGTTCATCAGAATAATTCTACAAATCTTGATAATAAATACATGAACATAGCAAATTAAAAAAGAAAAAGATTTTTGACAGCCGGGTATTAGAAAGTGGGCGGCATACTGATCTTTCAAACCATTCTTTATAATTTATGACAACATTTACAAGATAAAATAATGCAACATAAAACCCATGTCATGGTTTTTTAAAACAGTGAGAATACCTTCTGTTAGCGCATTAATTGCCAGCGGCAGATTAAGGGTTTCCAACGAACCAATGAATTCCTCCATTTTTCCTTTGCTGATTTTCAGTCTGTTTTCTAGATCTGTGATCATACTCCAGCCGTCAGTATACTTCTTACAAGGTGTATTATATAATTGATCGATCTGCGTTACATCGTCTGGGGTTAGTGCCATTCCAAATTTTATTAGATTTTGTCTGTGAGGTGTAAAT